GCGTTCCCCTGGCCCCGCCCCTCCGGCTCCATATTGAGGGTGGAGGAGACGAGGTCGCTCACAAAATGGAGGCGGTCGGTGCCGCGCAGGGCTTTGGCTTGAGGGAGTAAGGCACCAGGCAAGGCTGGAAAGAAAGTTCCTCGCCTCCTCAGAGCCTATTAATGTGTTCGGGAAGTCCCTTAGACTGCTTCGGGGGAGAAAGGAAGCTTCTTGCCAGCTTGCTGGCTGCAGGCAGGCTGCGCGTTCTTACCCACTGTTCCTCCCCCTCCCCCGGGCCAAAAGAGCGCTGCAAAATGGCGTGCTGACCCACAGTATCAGCTGAGTGGGAGGGAGCCTGCTCATCTCGTTGAAGCAGTGTGGTAGTTAAACTAGGGAGGAAGGGAGTGCAAAGTTTGCTGTCCAGGAGAGGCTGCTGTCTGTTATAACTAACTTGCAGCAGAAGGACTGGAAACAACAGCTTGTGTGATAGAGAACAGCACTATGAAAACTCTAGAGATGCTTATCCCCACGGAGAACAAAATGCCTGAAAAAAAGCCCTTAATTCCATAAGAAAATGTTGCCTTTTAGTTCTGTGGAGAGTTCCTATAACATATTCACATCCCGAGGATAATTTCTCTGTGATAGAAGAGAGAAGCTGAAGCAGCAGGTGTTTTTCCTCCCATATGAGAACAGCAGTTCATGTGCACATAGTAAAAATAAGCAGGAAAGGACTTCACTTTTCCTTTCAGGAGTGACCTGAAGAGCTCTGTGGTCATCCTTGTAAGATAAAAGCAGTCTGAGTTGCTAACTGAAAACCTTGTAGCCTTGAGGTGTGTGAGAGAACTGCAAAACGTGTATTCATTTTTTTCTGATATAGGCGCTTAGTTTTTGAGAAGTCTAAACTCTACAGTTTCACATAATAGATTTCCTTTAATATGCGCGGGAGGGTTTGAAACACAGAATGTTCCCAGCTTTAACATAAACCAGCTAAAAATTAAGTAGTGTCAGTAGATATTTAAAAAAGAAATGCAATTGCAACAGTAAACAATATTTCACTTAACCTAAAGCAGTTTCTATATGCAGTAGGTGTGTTACCTGCAAGATTTGAAGTTTACATATAGTTAGAAGGGAGGTTTTTAAAATTATACTTCTGTAGTCCAGACCACTTGGAAGAAAAGAAATGTTACTTTGTAGTCATAGGATTATTGACTGTTAATCGTTTATATAATGTTCCTGTAGTAACAAAGTTAGGGCCTTAAATAGAAAGTTGTTACCAAGAATGCTGGGGCTCTTGCTATGTTTAGCAGGTGTAAAAGCAAGGATCTACTTCCCTGCCAGCTTTTCATAGTCTTAGGCATTTTTTCCTGTAGTTGAACCTGAACATTATAAACCAATGATTTCCTAAAGCAGTATATAATGCAAAATTCACTTTTGCCATGTATTGCTTCACAACATTCATTGCTCTTTAGGGTGGGTTGCGTTGCACTGAAAGGGAGGTACACTTTTCTGACCAACCCTAGCACCACCACCCCCTTTATTTAAACTGTGGTAGAGATTAAAACACTTTACCTTCAGGTCTGAAGAAAGACATCTACATGTAGAAGTCTGTGGCTGGTTTTATGCTGTTCAGCTCTCAGGCTAATGCTGCATCTAGTCTAGGTTAACCCACTGCAGCAGAAACAGTGAAGCCTATTATGCATTCGTGCTGCAGTCATATGCAGCATAGCAAGCCAGCAGCATAGCTGGCTAGCACCTTGTTGTGGAATGTTTAATGTGCACAAAAGTATCAATTTGCTAAATAAGATTTTAATCTCGTTGCTTTTTGTAAGACTTCTCTGTCTTGGGGATGGGAGACAGTTGTAAAATAATTTTTCGTAAATTTCTGTCAAATGTACAGGGATAATCCTTGCCTAACTGAAAAAACCCGATGCAATACTGAAAGAGAGCAGAAACACTAATGCACTTGTAAGGCCACTTTAATCGTGGTATAGAAAACTGGGCTCTGACAGTTGGCACACTCTAAAATGTGGCTGGTCATACATAGGTGATACTGTCGAGAGCTTCAGTTAAACTTGTTTGTTTCATGATGCTTGTTAAGGTACCAGTCTTATTCTAGTAGTTGTACCCACTGCTGGTCATTGGTTAGTCATATTCAAGACATTTTTTTATCTGTCAAACATAAATCCATGTTGATTCACATATAAGAGATATTCCCCATAACACTGAAAACCACGTATGTACTTCTAATTTCTTGCTTGCGTGCAATCAACTTACAAAACTAACGGAGTATAAAATTTACAATTTTAAGGAATTAAGAATTAATAAATTTCTTCAACATGCATAAAAATAACCTTTCAAAACAGATATCCCAAAAGACTAGACACTCAATTTGGACAAAAAACCTTTTTTTCTTGTACACTGTGTTGTTAAATTTTCTATAGTTCCTCATCATTATGCTTCATAAAGCGTTAGAACTTCCCTTTATCTGGCAATGCTTCATTGTTAATCCCTACAGAGCAATATGCAACTCGAACAGAAGATAGGCATGAAATCAATGCACTTCCGGGGGGTGGAGAGCAACCAAATTATTTAGTATATTGAAATTTCTTTACTGTTGTGTGCATTTGAGCACTCTTAAGTTGTTAGTTAGTTAGTGTTTTAATTAAAATCACACCTCATTAAGTGTTTACTATGCTGCTGTCTAAACCCATTAGAAGTCAGTGTATTTATGTAAATGTACTCCACCTATTTGTAGTTACAATGTGCACAGATAATTTTAGTAATTTGTGAAACTTAAAATCTGTGGTTTGTATTCAAAATACATTTTTTTATTTTTGATTTTGTAGGGCCATGAGCCAAAGGAGCCAGAGCAGTTGAGAAAGCTGTTCATTGGTGGTCTGAGCTTTGAAACAACAGATGATAGCTTGAGAGAGCACTTTGAAAAATGGGGCACACTCACGGACTGTGTGGTAAAGTGTCAAATATCAGTTTGTGCTTTTGGAATGACACAGGTATACTTAATCTAGTACAGAAGTGCAGAGTACCCCCTGTGTTTTTGCAGGTGATGAGAGATCCGCAAACAAAGCGTTCCAGAGGCTTCGGCTTTGTGACTTACTCTTGTGTGGAGGAGGTGGATGCTGCCATGAGTGCTCGACCGCATAAGGTTGATGGACGTGTGGTTGAACCAAAGAGAGCAGTTTCAAGGGAGGTAAGTTGATGTTTCAGTTAACCTTATTTCCTAATCTTTACTTAATAATTTTAAACACTGAATCTTATTTTTGGTGTTGTAGGATTCTGTAAAGCCTGGGGCACATCTCACAGTAAAGAAAATATTTGTTGGTGGAATTAAAGAAGATACAGAAGAATATAATTTAAGGGAATACTTTGAAAAATATGGCAAGATTGAAACCATAGAAGTCATGGAAGACAGGCAAAGCGGAAAGAAAAGAGGCTTCGCTTTTGTAACTTTTGATGATCATGACACAGTTGATAAAATTGTTGGTATGTAACTCAGTGAGAAACTTCAACTTACGGGATGAAAGTGTAACATGAGATTTCAGAACAGCAGTGTGTGGAATGTAAGATGTTGGCATAATCAGCTGCTCGTCTTTTGTAGGAAATGGGGTAGATTTAATGTTCCTTTCAAAAGTGTGGTCATGCCTTACAGTAGCCTTGTATGAGAGTTTTACAGCAGATTGCTTTCGGTGATTTGATATTCTAACTCTTTCCTATTTCACAATTTTCTCTAGTTCAGAAATACCATACTATAAATGGACATAACTGTGAAGTGAAAAAAGCGCTTTCAAAACAAGAGATGCAGACTGCTAGCTCGCAGAGAGGTGAGTTTGGAGTTGTGCATGGTTACTTTATGTAACTAGTTTTCAATTAATGTAATTGAAGTGAAATATTTTCTAGGTCGTGGGGGTGGCTCAGGCAACTTCATGGGTCGTGGAAACTTTGGAGGTGGTGGAGGGAACTTTGGCCGAGGAGGAAACTTCGGTGGAAGAGGTAAATGACTGGAATGTTCATACAGAGTGTGATTTCTGTTTTTCTATTTCCTCTGTCAGTTGGCTTGAACACTTAACACGTGTGTTCAGAAAAACATTCTCATCTGTTTTGTGTTCCAGGAGGCTATGGGGGTGGTGGTGGCGGTGGTGGGAGCAGAGGAAGCTTTGGGGGTGGTGACGGATACAATGGATTTGGTGATGGTAAGTGTATTGTTCACTGGTTTGGTTTTTTTTTTCCCAACGTTATAACCAGCTGTAAGTCTTGCCTTCACCTTGGAAACTAAGTCTACTTTGATGATGATGTTTTCTACAACGTAGAACTGTGAAGAGTTAAAAGTTTTTTGTGTTCCCCACAAAATGATGGGTGGGGAAAAAAATACTTCTCTATGTTTACCCTTTAAATAACCTTACGTCATGAGATCATGCAGCAGCTGTTTATGATTATTGAGAACTAAATGAAGGTTCTGGTGTCAGTTGAGATGACTAAAACTGAATAAAGCAATGACCAACTAACATACCAGAAATCTTTTCAATCACTGTAAGACTTTTCATGGCTCAATAGTATCTTTTTTGTGATGAAGTTTGGATGAGTATCTAAAGTGCATCTGAAGAGAACTGTGGAAATTACTGAATGGCTGTGGCAGTAGGATTTTGCAAGGGGGAATGAGGGAAGTAGATGTCCCGATTCTCTAAGCAGATATATGTAGCAATACTGAGTTCTTTTGGAACTATTTCCCAGTTTGGAACTACTCTCTCAAAATGTCAGAGACCAGATTAGCATCTGGAATACCAAGTCTTTCAGATATGCTTTACATGATTAGAAAAATAGAATGTCCAGTATCTGTGACACACAGGTAAATCAAGATGTATGTCTAGATAAAAACTGTACACCAGAATTCTTTTGAGGGCTTTGCCTACTGAATCATTTCTGTTTAGAGGAGCAAAGAGGGTGATACACAGTAGTGACAAAGCCATTTGTGTAAAGAGGCAGTTACCACATGCAATGTGTGGTGGTGGTAGCAGCATGCCTGTGTGTTTGCTGTGAACCAGAATGAACTTGTAAGTATCATGCTTCGAGGGTATGCATAAACTAAAGGGTTTTTTTTTGTTTGGATTTAGTAGTTCAGATAAATTATGCAACTGCAATGATTATCATACAGGGAAAACATTCTGGGACACTTTTATTTTGTGCTTTTGTTGTTTTGGTTATTTTTTTTTGTTAAAGGGATGTTTTCTTACCAATATTTAGCTTTGGTGTGTTTAGTTTAACTCTTCTATTTGAAGGTGGCAACTATGGAGGTGGTCCTGGCTATGGCAGCAGAGGAGGTTATGGTGGTGGTGGAGGACCAGGATATGGAAACCCAGGTGGTGGATATGGAGGTGGAGGAGGAGGATATGACGGCTACAATGAAGGAGGAAATTTCGGTGGTGGTAAGATGCCAGCTTTAATTAGACATCCCCTTTTTTTAGGCAGGTCTGAGTTATACAATACCTGAAGTATGATAGCGCATAAAATGAGTTGTACAGTTAGGTCTTAATGTGGAATGCTGCGTTACACAATGAAGGTTCTTTTCCATCTGGATCAGCTTTGATCTACTATACAACGTTGTTTTGCCTGGAAATTTTTTCAGAAAGCAGCAGGTGTAAATCTGCGTGTGGAGGAAGAGTAGGAGAATTTTGAAGCTTTTGACCATTTGAAGTGTGCTGTTGCTGTCAGATACCAGTTCACATCATGCAGATCATGTCCTCCTTTGTGAGGACTATAAATTTATGTAAATTTTTTAATTGTTTGCCCCAGGTTTGGGGAGTTTAGCTGCAAAATCTGCTGCATACTTTTTTATACTGTCTGATGTGTACATGCAGCATGCCTGTTGCAGTTCTGTCACTTTTTGGAGCAAATAAATTGTAGTTTACATTATTGTCATACATGCAAAGCATTGGGCAGTGGAAGAACGACGGTGAAATGCATGCTTTTGTGAATTTGGAGGCCTTAAATCTGGCCTATTGTGTTAACTTGAAATTGTCTAACCTATATAAATTTGCTAATGTCATGTGATGTTTTTAATCTTCAATGACATACCAGTTTCTAATCTTCAGAATGCTACGGGTCTTCTATCATTTGTGCATTGTGAGTAGAGGTAGCATGCAAAATGCTTGCAATTCTATGGTAAATTGTTTTAAATTATTACAATGTACATTTACATTGGATGTCATAATTTGGCAAGCTTCACGTCCTAAGTGTCGAACAAAAGTGGCTTTATTGATCTGTATTTTTTCCAGGTAATTATGGTGGAAGTGGAAACTACAATGATTTTGGCAATTACAGTGGACAGCAGCAGTCTAACTATGGTCCCATGAAGGGTGGTGGCAGCTTTGGTGGCAGAAGTTCAGGCAGTCCCTACGGTGGTAAATACGATTTTGCACAGAAAATACTTTTTTGGGTTAAAATTTCTTGTTATTCTTGTATTTCAATATACACCCTGGTTTTTTGTAGGTGGTTATGGATCTGGAAGTGGAAGTGGGGGCTATGGTGGTAGAAGATTCTAAAATACTACCAGAAAAAAGGGTAGGTGTCATGCATATTTATAATGATGATTAATGATGTACAACTGTTCACTGAGAGTAATAATTTTCTTATCCTGTATTCAACAGGCTACAGTTCTTAGCAGGAGAGAGAGCGAGGAGTTGTCAGGAAAGCTGCAGGTTACTTTGAGACAGTCGTCCCAAATGCATTAGAGGAACTGTAAAATCTGCCACAGAAGGAACGATGATCCATAGTCAGAAAAGTTACTGCAGCTTAAACAGGAAACCCTTCTTGTTCAGGACTGTCATAGCCACAGTTTGCAAAAAGTGCAGCTATTGATTAATGCAATGTAGTGTCGATTAGATGTACATTCCTGAGGTCTTTATCTGTTGTAGCTTTGTCTTTCTTTTTTCTTTTTATTTTCCCATTACATCAGGTATATTGCCCTGTAAATTGTGGTAGTGGTACCAGGAATAAACAAATTAAGGAATTTTTAACTTTTCAATATTTGTGTAGTTCAGTTTTTCCACATTTAGTACAGAGAACTCTATAACAGAAATAAAATGTAGTTTAGGGTGTTTCCTTGTTAGTTAGTTGAGAGGATTAATGCATTTCTCAATTACTATTTTGTATTAATTTAAAGTTAACAATAGAAACACCTATTGATTTGCAGTCTTAAGGGGTCTAGTCTCAGTGTATATATGTAACTGTCATTGACATGAGTTACATAGGCATACAGAGGGAAAACATCTGTATGTTGCGTTACAGTTTGTTTAGATGTATAACTAGGATTGAGTTACTCAAATTAGTGTTTGTGAATTATAGAACTAAGCTTTACCTTAATGAAAATTTCAAATTACTTTTTGGTTTGTGCATATTTTTTTAATTTGTAGTTCTGTATTAGCACTAGCGCTTCAAGAAAATAAGGCATGATAAATATTTTAACAAGACCAACTTCAGACACATTAAAGCTGTCTCCCGTCTCATTTGAGATGTGTAAGGGATAACTGCAGTTGTTTAAGTCCTGGGTGAAGAGAAAAAGAAACTTGCTTTTTACCTTTATATTTATTGTAATTCCCGAGAAGTTAAGGTGGGGGGAATCAAGTGCCTGTTTCCTTGGGATATACAATGATTCTGTTTCAATAAAACTCTACGTTGGGGAGGGTGGCTTGGAATTTTCATCCCTTTCCTGTGTCCCCGTCTCCCTCTCCCTCACACCAGACTGCGCTGTTTCAATTAAACGAGGCGTCATAGTGAGAGTAGTAGGTAATGTTCCTCAATAACTTAATGGCTATATACTTTCTTGCATGCACCCTAGGCCATTTTCTGGACACAGAGAATCTTCTGACTGGGAGCCAAGGGTAGCGCAGGTGTAATCACTGACAGTCCCAGGTAATGCGTTCCAAAGGCCCGTTCACGACGGGCTCCAAGTAGTCTAGTTCTCGAGCTTGTGCCCTTGCGAATGCGTACGCTCAGCTAAGAGCTGGAAGGTGAAACAAAACACGATCTAGCTGTGGTTTACCGCCTAGAAACACTTCCCACAATGTAGAATGGTACAGTCTTGAGTCTTCACAGGCAGAGTGGTAGCGTGTTACAACTTGATTTGATGCACTGGAGTAGCAAATCTTATCAGCACATGTGGCTGGAAATTGTACTTCACTCTCGCTTCTGACCTCCAAATTAAGGCGCTACAGCCTGTCCTTTGCTCAGCTCACATGAACCCTCTTGACCATTGCCAGGACAGTGCTTTCTGTCAATTCAGACTCAGAAGAGTAGGGACCCAGTCAATAGAAGAAATACTCAGACACTTGACAATGTGGTATTGGAATTACTCACACCTGTTTCACTGCTGGGTCAATGTGCAGTATAAGGTAAATGCGATTCCAGTGTAGGAATGAATCTGCAAAGATGTGTGAAATGGCTCAAGGCATAATCAGTCATATTAATAATGAATTACGATTTTAAGAAGTAGTAGAAAAATGAGTGTGTTGTTTGAAAAACAAAAAAAAATTAAACAATGTTATTTAAACACTGTTATTGGAGTGTATGTAGACTGCAGTACGCTAAAACAAGGAGCCGGTGTCAAGATGGTAGCCTCCAAACTGGATTTCAAAGTCTGCTTGTTTTTTTCTGTGGAGTTTTAAAATATCTCTAAAGTTAAAGCAAGAATTGGTGATTTAGTGAACGCTTCTGTTGTTGTACATTTTAATTTGGGCTTGGGGTGGGAGGGAGGCTGTATTTCAATAAAGGCATTTTTTAAACAACCCATTTGGAGTTTGAAAACGTTGAAAACTGAGATGCACCTCACTAGGGAGTGAGCTGCCCAGCTACCGACTTGCTTTGTACGTTACCACGCCTAGAAGATGTGTAGACTTGTATGTGGGGCCTGCACCTGATTGCAGGGACAACCGGAGGGCTGGGGTTGATGTCCCTTCTGACCACTGATCTGGTGTTCCTAAATTATAGAATGTATTGACAGTGTTCTTTTTAACAGGGCCTCTTGTAGCTGTACTGTGACAACCATGTTAACTTTGAAAAATAGTGTCGTAATAAACTGTATGAACAAGATCTGTATGCACCCTTTTAAGAGATGGATGTAAGTGACCGCTGTGTAGGTGGGTGGGGTAGTGTAGCTGCTGTTTGTGATGTGGAAAAGCGTAAGCCGAGAGGACAGCGTTGCAGAACCTAGGACGTACTTCTCTGACCCATACTTTGCTAAGGAGACTCGTAAGACAGGACTTCAGCAGCCTATTGAGTGTGGAGAAGTCAGCATAATTGCAGAATGACGAGGCAGCAGGAGCAACAGCTTCAACTTCCAGAAAAGTGAAGGCATAAGATACTGTGCTGATAGTCAGCAGCTTCCCAGAGGCTAGTTAATCTGCTTATCACAGCTGAAATATCGAAGAAAGTCTAGCAAGAGTTCTTCACCTTTTGGAACCTCCTTGAGTGATAGCTACTTGAGTTGACTCAAAATCAATAGGTCTAGCGTTTAGACCTGAAAGGAAGGGCAATGAGCATAGGTAAGGTTTGCCTTTAAAATTTTTTATGAATTATAAAGAGTAGCGGGAGGTTTTTAAACAAGGTAAGAGTAATTTCTTTGATTTTCAGGTTGAATGAGAAGCTGCTGCTTGACAAAATGGGGAATGTCTTGCACATCCTCTGCCATTGAAGGTTTCTGACTGGGTAAGACTTGTAGTGTATAGTACGGCGCTTATTTAACCCTGATTTCCTTCTAGGCTTTCCTTGGGCAGCCTTTTAGTGTCAAGGAAAGCCTTAGGTGCGAAGGAGTAAGTATTCTAGCACGCGCTATCCAGCGTTCCCCGGTCTCGGTGAGGGTTCCTTGCTGGCATAGTTGCTGTTCAAGAATCTTCCGTTCCTGGCAGGTACAAACTGGCTGCGCGTCTGAGGTGGACGAGACGGAAATGATCAATGTGTGGGAATACGTGCTTGGGGGGGCGGGGGGCTGCGGGGAAGTCGGTCGTTGCCTTGTAACGGAAAGGGGCGCCTGGACAGAAGCCTCACCAGAAGGGCGAGGGCGCTGACGCGGTTCACCGTGGCTCTCGGCAGCGTGTGGCGTGCTGCAGTAATTCTGCAGAGGCGCCCTGCTTTGCTTAGAGCAGCACTGGCCCTCCTCAGAAATCGGCCTTGGCTCACCAGGTGGGTTTGTATTTGTGGGCGCCAATCCAAGAGCTCCCTGTGGGATTTTCGGCGTTTTCAGGTGGGGTGCTTTGGTGGAGGCCAAAGCTGGGAGGTGATGCCCGGCTGAAAGCACAGCAGCATCATTGGGTGAATGGCAGTGAGAGAGCTTCCCGCGGAGCCTGCTTTGACGCACATTGGTTCTTAACTCTTGGAACGTGTATTTCCCTTTCTGCATCTTCGATTGTTACAGGTCTGCGATACTTTTATCTGCTTTTATGTAGTAATCTAGTGCCTGATAAAACTTACCAATACATTTCTGAGTCCACATTATTTTTGTGAAGTCAGTTTCTATGTTAGCGTTGGTTATGCTTCAGTTACTTGGAAAATAGTCAGGTGGAACCTCTGCGTTTCAGTTCAGCCTGGGGCTTGGGCATGTTCACAGGCTGATTCAGGTATTTAAACTTGCTGCTTGCTGTCTGTAAACACCCAGGAAGTGAACCCTTGATGTTATAATGTATAATTACCATTGTAAATTACTTCCAAGTTAACTTTTAATGTTGAGATTTTCATAGAATCGGGAGCTACTTAATGGAAATCTCACAATGACTGCAGATACTTCTAAGAACCACTGACAACCGTTGCTGGTCAGCCAGGTTTGAGCCCTGATGTAGCGCTGCCACAGTGGGGTGACAGCCCCTCCTCGGCAGCCGGGAAGAGAATTCGGGTGTCTGGCGATGCCTCGGTCGGGTGCGAACGCTTTGGCACTTGGGGGGAGGGGGAATGTTACGATTTTTTAAAATTTTTTTTAACAGTAAAATCTTGAAAATGCTTTAACAAAAGTAAGCTTTCCAAAGAGCTTTCTAGTTTTCATCCCGTCCCTAGGCCTGGCTGCAGAGCGAAGCTCTGCCTTTCCCCAACGCCAGAGGGTTCTGCATCGCTGCAGGCTCCTTCGGTGCTTCAGAGGGGTCCCTTGACACCACATCTAGAACTAGACACCCACTGTTAGAAGTATTTTCACATTTGGACTTACAACACCCTTGTCAGACCAGTTTGCTTAGTTTCAATTATTCATACCCCAATTTGTTCAGAAATAAACCCTGTCAAAGATAAAGGCATCCTTAAGGACTACTCGCTCTCGTGTGTCTTGGTCCAAGGGGCACTTCCAAGAGTTAAGAATATTGGTGTGTGGCCATGTTTTTCTGTAGTGGCTGCTGTTGAACCCAGCCGCTGCAAATGGAGCTGGAGCTGTAAAGATGCAAAGTTAACGAAGCATTGGTCCTTAAGCTGCCGTTCTGCAGAAGTTTATTTGGTACCTAAACCTGTGTGGTAATCTAAAAGCAAATGGTCCTTCCAGGTAGAAAAAGTGCATTTCCCCAAAAGGGGCCCAGGTTGATGCAGATGTGAGAGGTGTTTTGTTGTCACGGAGCACTGAAATGAAACACAGCCTCTTAACGGTGATATCCTTTAAATATTGAAGGCGGGAAGGGGAATGCTCCTGGTCTTCCAAGCGTTGCTGGTGTGCTGTGCTGACCTGCTGTCCTTGGTTCCTGTGTTTAAGACATTAACGTGTTTCCATACACTGTCTGCGCGGCGGTGGAATCTTCCCTTACCTGCCGGTCTGTGGTCTCTGACACGTTGTTTGTATCGAAATTGTGTGGAGCGTGAAAGAGCTTGAGTGCCACTACAATTCAGATATCTGATGGATGATTCTTTTTCTGCTGTGGGTGCTACAGGTTGACATCTCTGTCTAAGATTAGCTTTTTCCTGAACTAAAGTAACCCAAGTATCTTCGTAGAAGAAAAATGGCCTTCATGTAGAAGATAATATCGCAAGATGGGAAACAGAATAATGTGTTTTAATAACTGGCAAAGACTTCAAGAGCAATGGTGCTAGTGTGCTGAGAGCTTAGAACTTGTGGTTAAACAAGTTTAAAAATAGCATGGAAATTTGAAAATTTCAGTATAGTCCATAATGGATTGAAATTTGTTAAAATATTTCCATTTTGTATCAGAATAAAGTGTATATTGTCAAATGACTTACAATCTGAAATGCGTTGCCATCACCTTTTTTTAGTGCTGTGAGGAACACAAAGTGGTCTTAAATTACTGCAACCCATTGAGTTACAGGATCATCTCTCCAGCTCGGCACTGCACGTCGGAAAACTGTGGCTCAGCCCAGCTCCTCAGCTTTCTTTCAACGGTTTTAAAATGGGATGTTTTGATCAAGAAATTAAGGGTCTGCAGGAGGAGACTTGTCAGAGTGCCAGGTCAGCACGGCGATGCGTTAGACTTGGCCATGTCACAGGTCCCTCTCAGGTTTGGGAAGGTGCTCTGTACCTCTAATGATAATAAAATGAAGGACGTAGTTTGCAACCTGATGTTTTCACGTATACCAAAATAATCCACTGTGGAGTATTTTTTTTTTTTCCTCGATGATGTCTGGCATTGCGCTGCGAGTACAACATTCACTGTGTTCGTGACAGGAAAAATACCGGTTTGAACTGAACGCAAGTTGTTGTGGTCCGAGTTCCTTCAGCCTGGTGGAATTCAAACCAGGCTGCTGCACTAGCTGCAGGGGTTTTGTTGCTCCATTCGTCCTGGTAATGGAGTAAGTATCCCTGTATTAGGTTTTAGGCACGCAGTAGGATGAATGCAACAGCCCCTGCAAAGGCTCCAAGGATGCCCTTTGGCTTTTCCATTAGTGCTAAAGTAAGGAACAAATCAAAGTTGAGGGCGGGGTTTACTGAGGTCACTTTTATAGCCGATTTGTATTAAAGTATTTGCATTGCAGCTAGAGAGAAGGTTTTCTCTGCATGTCATACATTTGATAGTCTATTGCCTGGCGGGGGGAATCCAGGAGCTCTTTCTCTTCAGGTCTTCTGTGCTTTGCCATCAGCCCTACCTGGGTGTCAGCGTTGAAAGTTTGTCCAGGGCCGTAGCTTAGAGTGCTTCCTCCTTAATGCCCGTGCTCTGAAACTGCCATGCTTAAATCTGAATTAGGCCCTTGCGCTTTAAATGGCAGCAGCGTCCCATGTTCCCCGCGAGCGCTAACAGCATTTTCCTTCCCAGGCAGTGCTGGTGGCGAGGTCAACAGGCGCATTTGAACAGCAGCAGCAAGAAGAATACTGCTGCAGTATCTTGGGTTTAGTTCAGCAG